TCTCCAAAAGATCTGTGAGGCAGAGGCAGAGCTGCCCAGGGAGGTGATGGAGTCACCGTGCAGGGAGGTGTTCAAGAACAGTGGAGATGTGGCACTGAGACATGTCAGTGGACATGGTGGGGATAGGCTGGGGTTGGGCTTGGTGATCATAGTGGTCTTTTCCAACCTCTATGATTCTAAGCTCAAGTGCTGAAAAGCATGAAAGGAAGACCTGTAATCAGATGGGTTTTATCTGTCCTTAGTTATAAACACAGAAGAATGGCTCATGCTTTAACTTTAAGTAAAATCCTTAGAAATATCAATCGGGTGTATTTTTCTGTAACTGGATATTCTGACTATGCAATAAGGGAGCATTGTTAAAAATAATGGAAAGAATTTGTAATACTATCCAGAATTTAACTGAACTGTAATTTTTAGCCAAGTTAAATTAAAACATTTCTTCAAGTTATAAAAAAATATATATATATTTAACTGTCAACATTCATTTGGGCAACAGAGTACAACTGTGCTTGTTTAAAGAACGAGCTGTGTAAGTCTTTGTACAGAGCAAGAGATGGAAGACCAGCAAAGAGCTTAATTGTTCTGTCATTCTTTGTAGCTTATATCTGGTTTCCTGTCTCATTATGAAATGTTTCCCAGTTAGGATGAAGAAGAATATTAAAATGAGTTGCTGCTGTTTAGTTTCTTGAAAACCTTTATAGCTGATGGCTTTGTTGTGGAATATCAAAGAAGATGTCTTCAGTCATGTCTTTGTGCGGTTACACTGAAGTACAACTCGTTGATTGTTTGTATTCTTTTCCAGTTAATATAATTTTCGTTTATTTTAAAATGAACTTTTAGATAGTAATCTTGATTGCAAACCGAGAGAGATTCTGTTCTGAACAGTGGACTGTGTTGGTGTGTTATTTGAAGCATATGCTATCTGGCATATGTTCCATCACAATACAGCTATGGTTTTGGAGCTGTGTCTCTTACATCTGTAATAGTAAACAGTCTCTGTTTTCTGTACGTGTGTGCTCCTGTCTGTGAGAAAACAATCTAAATGACTGCTAATTGTGACACGTGGCTACTACAACCAAGTAGCAAGTAGCAAAGTGTGTATATATAGCATGTATTTTCTATATGAACGTATGAAAGTTTTAAATGTAAGACACAGAGAATCTTGACTCCCAGTCTCTGGATGATCTTTTCCAAACAGGCAAGTTTCACTGTCCTGCACAAGCCCTACTTATATTTTCTGTCATCTTTATGCTTAAAACTGCAAGCTTGATTGTAAGCTTCCTCTTTTAGCTGCGCTTAGAAGTCAGATTTATATAATGTGTCAAACGAAATGAGGAACTTCTTGTGGTTTGTTACTTTTCTACCAGCTTAGCAAAATGTTGCTAGAAATCTTGCTGTGTTTTACTTGTCATAGAGGTGGTAAAACTTGGAGGAAAAGTTCCACAAGTTGTATATGTGAAATATTCAAAAGCTGTAAAATCAAGCACACAAGAATGACCTGGTTATTTGGTTCACTGTTAATTCATGACATCTTTGTTTCATTCAGTGCAGAGAACGTGCTAGTGTTGGTTTCTGTGCAGGAATAAAACAGAAGGCATTTTTTGCACAGCTGAATTTTCTGTGCAGCTGAGGGGAGACTGAATCTCAGGCTGATCTTGGGCTTGACTTGGCTTACAGAAGGTGCTGGGCTTTAGGATTGTTTATTCACCTCATTCCTCTCCTCGCTCCTGTAACCTGCATGGAATATTTATATAAAGGAAAGCTGGTGTCAGAATACACAACAGGTCTATGCACACACACAGTAATATGAAAAATATTATAACAAAATATGTAGGTTGCTCTGAAAGTACAGCCTCCTATTTATTTCCATGGAAACTAAAACAGCTGCAAAAAGCATGATAACACTATTTGATAGAGCAAATTCTCAGCTACAAAACACTGTTTTTCCAACACAGTCACCACCATCAGCAATGCATTTTCCCAAGCGATGAATGAGAGCCTGCATGCCACTCCTGTACAAATCTGCAGCAGTGGAGGTGACCCATTGTCAGCACTGCTGAAAAGCACCACCTACCACCACACTGTGCTCATATCCACTGTTTCATCTCTGTAAATGTTCAGCGAGTGTTGATGAATGTCTCTGGGTGCCATTGTTTGCACATGGAGGAATTCAGTTCCATCCTTTTGCTTCGTGTGCACTCTCCTGTCAGATGCTGCTGTGTCAGACTGGCCCTCTGCTGAGACTGGCCATCAGTCACACAGCACCAAAATGTAGTATTGGTGGGCAGGTTCAACCTCTGCTGCCATATCACCCATGTCATATCATAGCAGGCATTCTTTTGGAGCAGCCTTTGTATTTCACACTGCTGTTCATAGGCAGGCCTCTTCAGGAAAATATGCATGAAAGCTATTTGATTCTAATGGTTCTTTTAAAACAGGAAAGAAAAAAAAAAGCTTTTTTTCCACTTACGGGATCATTAGATTTTAATGTTCCTCCAGATAAATATCCTCATGATAAAAGCAGTCAGTATGCAGATACAGTGAATTGAAATACACAGAATGGTATGTTAGACACGTCACATTTTAAAATAAATTGCCAGATGCTCTGATTAAGCTGGAATTGTGATAGAACAGAGCAGTTGTTTCAAGTACAGGTAGCTGTTTATTTTCTTAATTGTGTAACAGATGGCAGCTGCTGCATCTTGCAACTTTGGGAAGGCAGAGCTTCCCTCTTAAATTAAACAGTACCCAAGGTTCAGGAGGCGGATCTTATGCTGCGTGATAAAAGGCTGAACTCTGTTGCAGATCACAAGGTGTGTGTTGTGCTTTGGAGGAGGATTTGCTTTTGATTTGCTTTTCTCTTGAATAAACTCACAGTAAAAAGGATGTGGTGTATCTGCTGGAGATAAGTGTGTGTTATTGTTGGCTTCAGTTGCTTCCAAGCAGCAAACCTCCTGCTGCTGTTCTGTGCCACTTGCGTGATGTGCGAGCTCTTTGTTTGGGGCTTTTTCTTGTTTTTAATCTGCTGTTGTGTTTCAGACTGGGAGAGAGGATTGTGTGCTTTGTGCTCTGTTGGCTGGCTGCTGCAGTCACCTCCTTACTACTGGGAGGCTTTGGGAGTGAGATTGGCACTTTGCTCATCACTATGCAGGTCTTGCCTCCGTGCTAGGCCTCGTTTTGAACAGCAGCTTTAAAAGGTTCTGGTATATTTTGTTTTGCTTGGAAGGTGCTGAAGATTATTCTGGGAGTTGCTGAAAAACACCTGAAAGACAGTGCAGTCACTGGTCACAGCCAGCATGGGTTCACAAGGGGAAAAGTCCTCTTTAACCAACTTAATCTCCTTTTATGGCAAGGTTACCCATCTCACTGACTGGGGAAGCCAGTTGATGTAATCTCTTTGTATTTCAGCAAAGCTTTTGTGCTGTTTCTCGCAGTGTTCTTCTGGACGAAATGCCTGGCATACAGCTTGGCAAAACCATTGTGCAATGGGTGAGCAGCTGGCTGATGGGTTACATTAAATGAGGTTACAGCAGGCTGGTGGCTGCTCGCTGCTGGGGTTCTGCAGGGCTCTGTTGTAGGGGCACTTCAGTGTTTTTATGAATGACTTGGATGTAGGACTAGAAGGGGTTTTGAGCAACTGTGTTGATGATACTAAATTGAGAAGAGTTGTTGATTCCCTTAAGGGGAGGGAAGCCCTGCAGAGAGATCTAGACCAATTAGAGGGCTGGGCAATCGGTCAACTGTATGAAGTTCAATGATAGCAAATGCTGGATTCTGCAAAGTGCTACAGAGATGAGGAAGGGTCTATGCAGAGTGCCTGAGGCCCCCGGGTTTGCTCAGTGCAGAGCAGAGGAGCTGAGGGAAGCCCTGATGGTGGCTGCAGCTCCTCACAGGGAGCGGAGGGCAGCGCTGAGCTCTGCTGTGTGGAGGGAACAGCATGGAGCTGTGCTGCAGAGAGCTTAGGGAAAGGTTCTGCCCCAGAGGGCGATGGTCACAGCATGAGCTGGCAGGACTTGGAGCACTGGGACACTGCTCTCAGACTTTGGGTTTGGGAGGTGCAGTTTGGAGGTGGGGGTTGGACTTGGTGATCCCTGTGGGTCCCTTGCAATTCAGTGCAAGATATCTTGCAGGCATCCCTTGTAAGGTATTTAGTGGTCCTGTGTTAAACCAGGAGCATTTCAGACCAAGGGCTTTGTACCCTACTGGTAACCTAGAGAGTACAACAGCAGGAATACAGCATCAAGGAAAATTAAATTGATACAAGTCCCAAGATTTTTAGCCTTTTATCTCCTTGTTGTGCTCTGTATCCATGCGTGCTTGGAGGCAGCATGTTTGTTAAAGATGAGTCACATCCATTTTGTGTGAGTATGAAACAAGTGTCTGCTTGAAATGACAGTGAGAAAACTTAACCACAGTTTCCTCCCTTCACGTCCTGTCTTCTCTTCAAAGCTGTATTTAGCAACCACTGCCAGTTAAGCAATGCTAACTTAAGGCTATATAGAATTATCAGCCTTAGAAACATTGGTGGAAAAATTGTGAATATCGTAATGAGCTGGGGTTTCTCCCAGTTTGTCCCAACCTTGGCCGAAGGCATGCCCGTGCCTTCCTGTTCAACAGGCCATCAGGACAGCAGTATCACCCCAGATGTCTGCCCCAGCCACCCAGTACAGACCAATTGGTATCACTAGGGCACACTGAAGAATATGGCTGAGCTTGCAGTGAAAATGTTCTTCCTACCGCGTGCTTCATATCCAAAGGAATTCCTGGTTTTCTCCTCATTGTAAGAGATCTAGCTGTCCTGAGGCAGGAGTCTGGGTTAAGTAGCGTAAGCGCTTGCAAAATGAGTTTAATGGAAGTTGTTATTTCCGTGACTGAGACTTGCCTCTGCTATCCTTCAAAAATACATTTGTAAAGCCCTAAAGATACAACCTTCAGCTTAGAATTTTAAAGAGTACTTGTAAGCAAGCTTTTCCCTTTCTCTTCTCCTGTTTTCCCTACAGTCAATTGCTTCAGCTGATATGGATTTGAATCAGCTGGAAGCTTTTCTCACTGCCCAAACAAAAAAGCAAGGTGGCATCACGTCGGATCAAGCTGCGGTCATTGCCAAATTTTGGAAAAACCACCGAGTGAGGATCCATGAGAGCCTGGTAAATCAAAGCCGCTGGGATAACGTCTTGAAAAACATGAACTGGAGAGTGGATCTGAAGTCACAGTCAAGACACGTTGATCAGATAAATACTCCAGTTGCAATAGTTGAAATGGAACTGGGGAAAAACGGTCAGGTAAGCTTTATTTTGTGAAGTATGTTAACCTAACTTAGTTATGTTTGGGATGAGATATTTTGCCTGTTGCTGAATTCTCTGCCTCCAAATCAATTCAGTAGATTTCTCACCATTGGGCCCTTAATGTTCTTGAACTTGTTTCATCTTTGGACACCTGTGTGGTGAATGCAGTGTTTGCTTATCATTGTACTTATGCTTAGAGCTCTCCTTACTTTCAGCTTGGAAAATATGAGAACACAAAAGTCAAATATAAAATTAATCATGTTAGCAATTATATTAAATTTGTATTTAAATTTATGATTAATAAAATTGTATTCCACGTGCTGCAAAGTCAAAGTCAGTTGGTAATTCTTTAAAAATAAACAACAAAACTAATCAAATGCTAAAATTGGATAATGCCTGCCAAGTGGAAGCTGAAAAGAATTCACATGCCAAAAATGGTTGAGCATCTTCACTTTTTAGGACAAGGGAGGGGGAAAACTCCCCTTTATTTTACTTGCTGCCTGTTTTCTTCTAACAAGTAGATCTTTATTACTGGTTATATTACATGATCTGGTCTTAACTGCCGGAAAAAGATATGTTGCTCCATCAGTGTTGAACTCTGCATTTCTTTTTAATCTTTGTAACCAACATCTGAAGGCATGGCTTCCCCTTTTCAAATTTCTTTTCCTGGCAGATCCTGTAGACAGATTCCTGTAGGCAGATTCCTGTATTTTTCAGTTTGCTATATTTTTCCTTTGCAGGGCATTAGTGAATCTTAAAACTCACTTCTTACCAGTAGCTAGTGCAATCCACACTGTGAGCATTCTTGGGTTTTGATGCTCACAGTTAACACCGAGTGAGTTTCCTTTGGGCTTTGTAATATTTTGGTAGCTTACAGGATGTGGACTGTACCTGTGCAGACTCACTGGTTTTACTGGAACTGTCTGACCATACCAAGGCTAGAATGAAAGTACAAGTAAGGCAGTATGTATTGTTGAAGGTACTTCTTTGGTCTGCTTTTCTTCCCTTTATTTTTTTTTGCCCTCCATTCCAATGGAGGAAGGAAAAAAGATTATAGTAAGTACATCAGAATTAATTAATGAGCAAACTCAGAATACCTGTGCTGTTTAAAAACAAACAAAAAACTCCACTCAACTCAGAACCATCACTGTATATCATAAGGGACTTATGCAGTTAGAGATTCCTATTTAGAAGCTGTTTTTCCCCAATAATGTATTTTTACAGTAACATCAATCAGTAAGTACATTTGTAATTGTCTCACCCTGTGCAGAGATAAAGGGAATATGAAGATGAATCAAGAATAGATACTTCCGAACCAGTCATTTCTTGTAACAAAGAACACTGCAGCAAAACCAGAATGAATTAATTTAGCAGCGTGATGTCATTTCAAATGTACCAAGGAAGGGATGTAATGGGTAACATCTTTGCTGAGGACAGTGCAGCAGTGAGCTGTCAGCAAGCCTGATGTCTGGTGCAAAAAGGGTATTAAGAGACTGTATTTACAGAAATAATTGTGGGATAATTACTGTTATCACCACTTGAGTCAAAAGTTATGTTTAAGAAGCTGCTGTCTCACATAGTCTTCAGCTTTGGATTAAATCAGTTCCCAGCTGAAAAGCTTTCAGAAGAATGCACCCTTGTATGATGGGCTGGGGCAGGGGAGTTGTAGGACCTTTGGGACCAAACAGTAGTAATCAGCTTGTGAGATTGCTTCATCCAGCTCTCAGCCTCTCCCTCACGTATCTGGGGACTCCTGGGAAGGTGGAAGCAGAGACTGCTATTGGAGGATGAGCAGGTTGTTCTTGCATGCTGAATCCAGCCCATCAACTTGAAACTCTTCATCAGCCTTTATAGCCTTTTTATATATTTTTACTAGATCGTTAGCACACTTACATCAGTTCTAAAAAGCCAGTTTTGTAGCACATCAAAAGTACATATGCTAATATCTTTCTGAAACAGAGAGAGTGGCATTTCTGAAAGGTAAAAACTGTCAGTCATAGATTTGATTTGGTGAATAGTGAAGATATGAATCCGTAGAAGAAAGCTGACTGTTTCAAGAGAATAGGCAGTTTTCCTTTGGATGTTTGAAAGCAGGGGAGTATACAACTGCAATGATGTGCAGCGAATTAACATGAATATTTTATGTTACAACAGAAGCAAAGCAATCCTCTGTAGGAGCTATACTTCCCAGCGTTTGAAGTCACTCTGATTCTTCTCAGTGTCTCTGTCTGGATTGGGTTTAGGTCCCACTTATGTAACCACTTTTTTACACCTCTGAATTGATCAGTTCTTCTATGATGGGAAGGAAGAGTTTATATGCAACGCTTAATATGGCTAGAAAAGGGGAATTTCAAGTATCTGGTTCATAAATAGGCCAAGTTTATGTGTGTTATCATAGAATGGCCTGGGTTGAAAAGGTTTGTAAAGATCATCCAGTTTCAACCCCCCCGCCATGTGCAGGGTCACCAGACCAGGCTGCCCAGAGCCACATCCAGAGGTGGGGCATCCACAACCTCCTTGGGCAGCCTGTTCCAGTGCATCACCACCCTGTGAGTGAAGTATGTTCAATATTATGTTTTCTAATGGAGCAAAGATATTTCTGGTTTTGAGAGTTCATTACAACTTGAATGAATTAATTTTTGCCATCCTTTAGAAGAATGAGCCCCTTTTAAAAGCTCTTAGTGCTTTTAAAACACTTCTCCAGTAAATATTTTACAGTGACATTTAAAGTCTCCTTGATGCTGCTGGTGTATGCATTGTACATCCTGGTTAAAAGAGATGAACAAGCTAGCCATGATGATTGCTCTGCCTTAAAAGCCTTTCTTCTTTGACAATATGACTAAGAGAAGCCTTAAGTAGTTGCACTTTAGCTTTCATTTTGCATTAACAATAAGTGATATTCTATGCTCCTTGCTGCCAGTCCATTTCATTCTTTCTTTTTAACAGCCCATCTGTTTTGTTTTTTTTTTTTTTCAGAATGGCTTCTGTACCTTACTTTTAAAACCATCTATATCTCCCTGCCCACTTTGTGTCCTTTCAATCTTGTTCTCTGAGTGTTTTTGTGTGTGAAATTTCAGCAGGATGCATATGTGTGGGGAGGGCTGGAGTGGTGAACGAGGAGAGCCACTCTCCTTATGTCTTTGCCTTCAGGAAGCTCTTTTTCCAGTTACAGATTTATATCTGACCTTGTCAATATTAAGAGGAAAAAAAATAACACACTGACGTACCACACTGTGGTAGTAACAGATATTGAAACTTTTTTTACAAGGTTTGTCACGTTCTTTTTCTTGTCTCCCTCCTGCTAGCCTGACTTGCTGGCAGACTTTTTTTGTTGGCTGTGTGCAATTGGAAATGATTAGGAATATTTTACCCAGAAATTGTCACTCATGATGTCATGTGTCGTTTACCCGTGCAGCTCAGCAGGGCTGGCACTGACTCAGATGATGTGTATCAGATGCTGGAACTGCTCTGCTGATGCTTTCCTGACAATCATGAGCTCTACAGAGTATTTTTTGTGCTTCCCTTCGCATGAAATCAGGAATTCTACTGCAGGATTCTTTCTATAAAGACTTAAGGGAACAGCATCAGGATTATGGCCTTTTTTGTCAATACTTCATCAATAATTTCATCTCAAATACTGACTTCGGGATTTGCAAAACTTCTCTTTTTCCCCAAAGCATTGTATATTTCTTCTTTTCTGGTTTTAAAATGCTTGTATCCACCTGACACAGGTATCATAAAACGTAGTTAATGTGAGTACTGATAGCGATTACTACCACAGAGCAAATACTAAATGCTGCAGCATGCTATGAAATCAGAATAATTTCATTCAAAATTAATGGTAAAGAGCAGCCTCACATACCATATCGTTTTTCTGAAGACTGAAATCCTCGTATAAAACAAGCATATAATCCTCATACAAAACAGACAAACATTAATAACAGATTTCGATGAATAGAAGATCTAATGATAATTTTGTTACACTAAATTCTCACTAGTGAGATAAATATTTTCTGATAAACAGACTTAACAGATAACTAACCCTTTACCAGTACAAGTGTTTGTGAGGTGCTGAAAAGTTAAGAACTGTCAGCTTGTGGTTTACCTGAGGTTTGTCACATCACGATGTCTGCTTGTGACTGGGTCCAGATCCTGATAACTCAGAGTAAATTAGAGAACTTGTAATGACCATGTCATGTGCTGTACGTGGAAAGTGAAATGCGATTAGAATTCTGAAGGTCACAAGATTATACTCTGAAGCCTGGAATTTGATTGACTTTTAGTTTGTATGACTGAATCTTTACTATTTTTGCTGTTTTGAGGAAGAATGAAATTGTTTTGGTGTCATTTCTAACTTGTTAATTACGTATATTCTACAGAAGTTTCGATGAAAACTTCCATCAGCTGTCCACCAGGCATACATACGATGAGCTGAATTCACACACATTTGCAAATATTAAAACTGAATATGCTTTCACAGTGTAACCAAAATCCTGCTATTTAGCTTCGTACCATCATAGGATCTTTTGAGTTGGAGAGGACCTATAAAGGCAATCTAGTCCAGTTGCCTTGCAATGAACAGGGACACCTCAGAGCCCTGTCCAGCCTGACTGTGGATGTTTTCAAGGATGAGCATCCACCACCTCTCTGGGCAGCTTGCGCCAGTAGTATAAAAATCTTCTTATAGCCAATTTAATGTCCCCTCTTCTAGTTTGAATCCATTTCCCCTTGTCCTGTCACAACAGACTCTGCTGAAGTGTCTGTCCCCTTGCTTCTTATAGCCTCCCTTCAGATACTGAAAGGCCGTTCTCAGGTCTCCCCGGAGCCTTCTCTTCTCCAGGCTGCACAGCCCCAGCTCTCAGCCAGTCCTCATAGAGGGGGAGGTGTTCCATCCCTAGGATCATTTTTGCAGCCCTCTTCTGGACATGTTCAAACAGGTCCACATCTTTTCTGTACTGAGAACTCCACATCTGGATGCATTACTCCAGGTGAGGTCT